TCTGCATCTGAAATGAAACAAAGGTCTATCAATCTGTTACAAGGAAGACAAGTGTTTCCTTACTTGTACTTTCCTGGAGTTCTCTAACTTCAGTGTTTCCTTTAGGTCTACTAATGGTTATGTTAGAGAAGGTATGTTGTGAGTAAGTTGTATCTTATCATCTCCTCTGAGCTCCAGACCTGCATCTCCAGTTGCCTATTTCTACCTGGTAATCCAGGTGCCACATAGGACCAAGACCTGGCATACAAGATTCTTTGAAGAATTAAGGATGGATATCATTCAGAAGGCAATGGAGAGTCCCATTGGGACTGGGTATGACCAGATGACAATAACATACAACCAATGGGGAACTTAGAAGAAGGACAGGAATAAAAGATGTCAATCAGTAATTGTATGATAGGAAGAAAAGATAGACTGGTCACACGATGAGGGCAAGGATAGAAAGAAGAAAGACAGAGTGCAACGGTAAGAGAAAGTGAGGAAGGCCTGCAGCATATTGGATGGACCACTATAGCCAATTTATGGGAGGGCATGGACAAGAGTTGCACATGATAAACAGCTTGGGATCTTCATTGTTAGAGAGACCTCTCAAATCAATGAGATCATGGATGAATTTAGTTATTCCACTGTCATCTCAAACTCAACATACCCAAAGTGAATTCACTGTTTCTCCCCCACAAACTTTTTTTACTTCCCCATTTCTGTCAATGGAATAATTATTCATTCAATCATTCCTATTCAAATGTTAGTGTTGCCTTTGACACTTCCCCCTCATTTCTCAAATGTAACCTCTTATCAAGTCCTAGTTAATCTATTTACAAAATATCTCTTGAATCAGTTCACTGATCATGACTACTCTTATCATCTTAGCACAAGGTGCATTACAATCTGATTGAAGTACATAACAACAATTTCCCAAATTAGTTTTCCCCCTCCCATTGTTTCTTCACATATTGCCAGATTAAGCTTTCGGTATGAACAGATGTGATCTATGCTGCTCCTCAGTTCAAACCCTTTTAATGACTCTATATTGCTTATTAAATAACACCCATATAATTCAAGGACTTACACCTCTCTGTGTTCCCAGCTGGATACACAGAACAATAGAATTCAAAACTGGAAGGGACATGAGCGCCCATCTAGTTCAATCTATACCTGAATAAGATCCTCTCTATAACATAACTTGGTAAGTGGTCATCCAGCATTTGCCTGAAGACCTCTAGTAAGGAAGAACCCATTATATCCTGAGGCAGCCCATTCTGCTTTTGGATAGCCCTAATTGTTGTCAAGTTTTTCCTTATATCAGATCTAAATCTGTCTCTCACACTCCTTGCTCTTAGCTCTGTCCTCTAGAGTCAAGGAGAATAAGTCTAACAAACAGTTTATTGGTGCTTATTTCTTTTTTACATCAGGGTTACTTTTCTTTTAAAAAAAATTATTTATTTTTAGTTTTCAACATTCACTTTCTTAAGATTTTGAGTTTTAAATTTTCTCCCTCTCCCTCTCCCCCACCCCCCCAGGATGGCATGCAATCTGATAGTCTCTACTTATACATTCTTATTAAGCATATTTTCCCATTAGTCATGATGTAAAGAACAATTAGAACTAATGGGAAGAACCACGAGAATGAAGCAATAAAACAAGACAACAAAGGAAAAGGAGAGCAAATAATATGCTTCCATCTGCATTCAGATTTCATAGTTCTTTCTCTGGATATGAATAACATTTTCCATTGTGAGTCTTTTGGAGTTGTCTTAGATCCTTGCATTGCTGAGAAGAGTCAAGGGTTACTTTTCAATGACTTATCCTCCATATTCCTCCTTAATGGCCCCTCTCAAGAACCTGCCTTTGTAACAAAGAATTATCAGGCAAAATAAACATGTTGGCCTTGTCTGACAGGGTGTGTTTCAATGGGCAACTATCATCTATCACTTCTTTACCAAGAAGAGATAGATTATATTTCAGTGCCAGTCAGATTGGTTGCTGCCTTGACAAGAATTCTGTTGTCTTTTGTTTCATCACTATGATATTGATTTCCTTCTATCATTATGCAGATTATTTTCCTGGTTCTGCTTAATTTGCTTTGTATCAGTTCATACAAGTCTTTCCAAATTTCTCAGAATGCTTCTGAGAATATTTTGTTATTCCAATAATTCCAGTTAATTCCAATAATATTTTATTAGCCCATATTTATTATATTCCACCTTTGTTTAGTCTTTTCTTTTCCCTCTTTCACATGACAGTCCTTCAAATATTTGGATAGCTACCATGTCTTTCCTAAGTTTTCTCTTCTCTGGGTTAAACATTCCCAGCTCTTTCAATCAATCCTCATATAACACGATCTTAAGGCTTTTTGCCATCCTGATCACCCTCCTGTGGATACTCTCCAGCTTATCAACGTTCTTCCTAAAATCTGATGCCAAGAACTGAACTCAATACTCCAGATATAATCTTGTCTGGCCAGAGTTTAATGGAATTAATATCACCCTAGTCATGGATGCTGTGCTTCTCACTGAAGCTAGATGCCCTTTTACTATCTTTGTACTCATTTGGGATTTTGATTCCTTGCTATCTAATTTTTTTCCTTCCTTTCTAATCCAAAGTTAATTTCTCTTGGTAGAAAAAAAAATGGAAACAAGCATTGAGGAGTTCTGCCTTATTTCTATAATTCATTGTCATCTTATCTCTGCAGCATCCATATTCCTTCTTTGATCCCCCTCTTTCCCCCAATATAGCATACAACAGCCCTTCTTTGGTTATCCTTCACTTTTCTTATTAGACTTAGTTCATTCTGACACTATTGCTACAGGATCATACTTATTGAATGTTGTTGAATGCCATATATTTGTATCCATCCTTCATTTTTTGCTCTCATTTGATCTTTTGTACATAGGTTTTCAAAATCTAAGTTGGTCAGTGAGTTTCCTGTGTATTCACATTGTTCTTTTAAAGCAGTACTCCTTTTTGTACTTCATTTTGGATCTTTAGAATTTCATTGTTAAGAACTCTCCATCTCTCCCAATTTGACTTTCCCTGAAGAGTTACAGTGCATGTAATCCTGTCTATTTTTTCTCTGACCTCTCTGAAATTTGTCCTCTACAATGTGAGTTTGTGCAATACCATAAGCATTTCTCTCCCTTTCTAGCATGAATTCTAAGGTAGAATGATCATTTCTCTCTGGGGTTCCCTTCATTTCTATTTCATTGTTTTTTTCCTTTCTGGAATTAGCGAGGTCCAGAATAAAAGCTGCTTTTGTTGTTTCCTTCACATTTCGAAAAATGTAAACCTTAAGGCAGGCCAAAAAATAATTAGCTGCTCTGCTTTTGGCAGAAAGAGAACGCCAATAGATATCTGGATAATTAAAGTTCTTTATCATAACTATGTCCTGCTTCTGTGCCAAGTTTTCTAGGTTTCTCCAGCTCTTCATCTATTTTCTTAGTTTGCCCAGGTGGTCTATAATACAATCCAATGATAACATTGCTTCTTTCTCTGCCTCTGTAGGACTTCACCTAATGCTCTCCATGTGCCTCTTCCTCTGGTTTCTTTGGTTCCATATATGAGTTTACATTTGAAATACCCAACACCGTTTTCTTCCTCTTACTTCACTACATGTTTACCTACCTAAATCCTTTTGAATAAAGCATGTGCTTCCAATGTCATATTCCAATTATAAGTTGCATCGTTCAAGTTTCAGCGATACCTGTGATATCAAATTTGACTCCTTGAATTAAGATTTCTGGTTCCCCTTGGTTGTCACCCACACTTTGTGTAATTGTATATAGGTATTTGAGGCCAAGGTTTTTATTGTTGACTCCTTTCTTGGAATCTATCTCATGTGAATTTCTGGGCATCTCTACTGTTTTTCTTCTTCATACATTGTACCTACTATCTATAGTATCTAACTTGGTAGAAACATATAAGCAGTCTTTACCCTACTTCTTCCTTTTCAGGTTAAAGCCTCCCACTCTGCTTTAGGGAAAAAAAAACCCACTAGATTTACAAGACTTTAGGCAAATTCATTTTTATGAGTACTTACTGGGTGCACTTCATCCCTGGCCCAAAAGTCCATTATTCCTATATTTTAAGCCATGTTTCAGTAATCCCAAACCAGTTGTTTTCACACATCATCTTGTTAACCAAATTCACTTCCCATTAATGTCATTCCAAAATACGGAATTTATCTTTCCTTTTTCTGACTTCACATAGCACATCATGTGTCCCCAACTCCTACCCCGGTCTCTGTTGCTCTCTGACTGTTTATGTCTCCTATATTTTATTCTTTCCTTTAGTTATTGTGTAGTATTGTATATTTGTGTGTGTCATACACCCTTTTCAACAGTATAGGGACAATATCTTAATTATCTTTTTGTCTCCCCCAGTGCCTAGTATGTTGCCCACAAGTGGCCATCTAGAGTGGGAAGAGACCTTAGAGATCATCTAGTTTAACCATCTTATCTTATTATATTTTATTTTATTTTATTTTATGTTACATTGTGTTATTTTTTTTACAAATGAGGAAACAGAAGTCCAGGGAGAATAAGTAACATGCGAAAGGTCACACATCTAATTAATGTACAGTTGGGACTAGAATAAAGATTCTTTCCCCCACACACAAGTCTATGTGTTCTTTTTTCTACTATATCATGCTGTCCCACATTTTTAGCTTCTGCTTGGGAGGAGGGGCTGGCGATATGGAAATATACAGTTGATTAAACTGACTGGGACTTCTTCAGAATGGGTAATAATTCCAAGGTAATAACATTAGGTCCTAAGAATTCTCCTTGTGTAAGTAAGCCTACACAGGAAGACTGAACACTCAATTAGGTAGGTGACAGAGAAACAAAGAGAGTTCTTATCTGCTTTCTCTTCCCTTTTCTTTCATTCATATTTCTTGTTTATTTTGTAGGAAATAGAGAAGAAAACATAAACTTATTCAGCAGTCCTCCACTTCCTCCCTTATTCCCTCCCCAACAGTGAACCTTAAGAGTATGTCAGCTTACCTTTCCTATAACATCTGTTAGCAGCTTCAGGGCCAGAGGGTCATGAACCAGGGAGTCCGTATAAAAAGAACCCAGGTATTTCTTTGGGTCAGTTGGGTTGTCTTGGGCACACAGATCAGGGCGCACATTGAATCCATGAGATATTCTCCCCACTGTGAATGGAAAAGCACCACCTACAAAGAAAGCTTCTTATTGAGGGGGCTGATCTTGATTGGAAAAATGTATAATAAAGCAGGGAGGCATCATTGTCATTGTTGACAATTATTTACTGAGTATTAAATTTATAAGAAATATAGGATCATAAGCCTAGAGTTATAAGGGATGTTAGAGGCTGTCTTGCTGAACCCCTTTATTTCACTGATGAGGAAACTAAGTCCTAGTTACTTGCCCAAGGGCACATCAGAGGCAGGATGTGAACAAAAATCTTCTGACTCCAGAGACTGGGCTTTTCTGATTTAATACAGGAAATGAAAAAAGGCAAGTCTGTTTGAGGATCTTACATTCCAATGGAGGAAAAGTGACAGATGAACCTTTATATAAAGCATTGTGGGAACACTTAGGAATAAAATATGCAGACAAGTATAACAGTAGTGAATATCTAGTTTTCTAAGTATAACCATGGTGTTTATATTGCTCATAGGATCTAGAACCAGAAGAGGCCATAGAAAACATCTAGTCCCCCCATCACCTCATTTTTAAAATGAGGAAATTACATCTCCAAGGTCTCATAGGTAAAAAAAATAGCAGTGATCTGTAGGCTTCCCTTAGGATGTTCATGTATGTAAGCACATAGGGACAGTATATCCTACTGCTTCTCAGGGATAGATGATGACACCTAGAATACAAAAATATGATAGCACAGTGATGGAGACAAAATGTAAATGTGCCTGTTTCCCAGAGAGTTTTGCTTTTTTTTTTAATCTGGGAGGTCCTAAAGCTTTTTTTCTTTTACTTAGAAATGTGCTAAAATAGCCTCCTTGTTGCAACGTGGAGGTAAGAGGATTGTAGGTGCTAAAGTAGTAGAGATGAGAACAGTTTTATTCTTTTCATTTCCTGCTGGAGATGCCACACAACTAGAGTGACAAGACTAGGAGTATCGAACCTCTGTGAGATAGAGTAGTGCTGTACAGGTCATCTGCTAGACTCCTCAGAATAGGAAGGAATCTCCTATCACATCATCTGAACAAACCCCTGGATTGAGTGCACATATTTACTTTATATCTATAGGGTATCCCAAAAGTCTTAGTGTGGTTTTAAGCTATTAAAGACTGATGATGATAATGATGGTAATAATAATAATAACCTACCTATATGTTTGCATGTTGTTTTGCTTGACAGAATATAATTTCTTTGGGAGTAGGAATTCTTTCAGTTTTTGTTTTTTTTTATTTCTTAATACTTAATGTAGTGCTTGGCAAATAGTAGGTGCTTAATAAATGCTTGTAGAATAAGTGAATGTTCAATAATCATAATGAAATAAGGTCCTTTTACTTTTAAGCTTCCCCCCCAAAATCTATCAGTGAAATGAATCCACTGAACAATGGCACCAAAAGCTACAATAAATCATAAATTTGACATAAATTAGCTCAATTGTCATTTACCTTTCCTTCTGTTCCTTTTGGTAATTACTGTAGTGAAGTATTTCGGTTGTCTACCTGTCTTCTACAGTCTTGTTAGAGAATGAGTCACTTTTAATCAAGGGCTAATATTTCAGAAAGAAAAATCCTTCTGTCGGTAATGCTAAGACAAAAAAAATTTCCCTTCCCTTGCCAAGATTCCTGTATCTACTTCCTAGCAATTTCCCTGAAATAATATGCAGTTGATTTTCTAATCTATCGGGATTAATAATCTTGGAAATAGAATTTTCAGAGTATGGAGGGACCTCAGCAGCTACCTAGTCTAACCCAGACTCAAAATGAATTCCCACCACAACATACTAAGTAAGTGGTCAGCCAGCTTCTGCTTACAGGTCTCTGATGAAGGGGAACTACTTTTCAAAACAACCCATTTCCCTTATGGATCACTCCAGTAATTAGGAAAATTTTCCTGACATTAAGCCTAAATTGGTTTCTATGCCACTTCCAATCATTGTTCCTGGTTCTGCCCTCTGGGGCCAAACAGGATGAGTCTCCTATTTCCACATGACAGCCCTTCTTATACTTGGAATAATTATCATTTACCCTTAAAGTCTTTACTTCTTCAGGATAAAAATATCCAGTCCTTCAACCGATCCTCACATGACATGGACTCAAAGGTCTTGCTGTACTGATTGCTCTTTTCTGGCCACTCTCTGGCTTATCACTGTCTTTCCTAAATAGTGGCAGCCGCAGTTGAACACTGGACTCTAATTTTAGTCTTACCAGTACAGAGCACAGGGCTATTGTCTCCTTATTCCTGAGAGCACTGACTTTCAATGCAAACTAAGATTGCATTTGCTCTTTTAGCTGCTACTTCACACTGACTCATATTGAATTTGTAGTCCACTAAATTCTGTTCTCCCCTCCCCAAGAAAACTTTAGTCTAGCATTGCCTTCTCCATATTGAGCTCATGAAATTGATTTTTTGAACCCAAAACTCACGTATTTCCCATCAATCCATATATGGTGAAGGCAGCAGAATTGGAGTAAGGAGGAGAGACTGCCCAATCAGAAGCCCAGCTTGGATTTTCATTTCTTGTTTTTCTTTCCCATCAGCACAATCAATAAAATTTAGTATTATAAAGCATTATATAGTTCTGCCTAAGATCAATTATATAGAGTGGTGGATATGGTGGATCAGGTTAGCTACAAGAAAATCTGTGGCTTGAGATGGTCACTTAATCTGACCAATCTTCTGTTCTATTCACAGAAGAGCTGATGGGAGTGAATGTCAGTTGATTTTTATAGTCATATATCTTCGATTTGGAAGGGATCTCAAGAGATCTTTGGTTCAGCCACCTGTTTTGGGGCAGATAAGGTATTTCTTATGCCCATTTTATAAATGACACAAGTAAGTCCCAGAGATAAGTTGCCTGTCCAAGATTGTAATCATATAGTATGAGAAAAGATCATAGATCTACAGCTGGAAGGAACGATCTAGTCCAACCCCCTCACTTTACAGATATGGAAACTGAGGCCCAGGAAGATTTGATGAGTTGCCCAAGGGCATACAGGTAATATTAGAGGTGGAATTGGAAATGAGCAGGTTACAAGAAGAACAAACAGGAGTAGCATTGTTCAGTGGAAAAAGTGGACCTGGAATCAAGACACTTGGATTTATGTCCTGTCCCCTGACCCCTGACCTTGACACACTTTTTGTGGCCTTAGATAAACACAAAACCTCTCTGAGTCTTAAGTTCCTCATTTGCAAGTTGATATAATACTTGCACTACCTACCTCATGCACTAGTGAAGAAAGACTACGTAAACCTTAAAGCTTGATGTAAATGAGAGTTATTGTTATTAACCTCAGTGACATAGAGGATCCTTGTTGGGGAAGTGACAAGAAAAGAAGCAAACTAGCACTGGACCAGGAATCAAGAGAACTGAGTCCTAGTCTTGACTGTCAACAGATAGTTGAGGGATGTGTAGAGATGTGTAGGAGGAATCACCTAACCTTTCTGGAATCTATTTGTTTGCTTTATCTGCAAAAAAAATTTAGAAAGTTGGACTTGATCATCTGAGGTTTTACACAGCTCTAAAATTCCATTGTGCCTTGAATGTATAAGGAGGGTTCATTTGATAAAAGACCTTAAAGTGTAGGCTTTGGGTTTTAAATTTATTCCAAAAGGAAGCCAATTTCCAATTCTCTAGGAGGAGAATCATACTATGTATTGGATTTTGTCTTTTGCACTTTCTTTTTGTACATAACCTTCTTCAGGGCCGAGATTATGTTTTCTATTCCCCTATTACAGAGCTGAATCCAAAGTGTGCTCTGTCATGGTGCTAATGAAATGTAACTGGTTCTACTGTTGTCACTCTGTACTACTTGGGCCAGACTGGCATATCCATTTAAGTCCAATGACCTTAAAATGATAGAAAACATTTCGAAGCTAGACAGATTAGAGGCACAAATCAGTGGTGGTGATAGTGAATACAAAGAAATCAATGATCTCTTTGGCATCACTTTTTCTGATGTGGAGGCAAGTTTTCAGTATAACCAAGGTGTGTAGAAGAAAGGGAATAAGGGGAGAGAAAGGAATAAGCATTAATATAGCAGCTACTATGTGTCAGGCACTGTCATGAGTGCTTTTTTTCTTTTTTTAAAGAAATACTATCTCATTTGCTCCTAACAACGGCCCATTGAAGTAGGTGCTCTTAATCCCATTTTATGATTGAGGAAGCTGAGGCAGATAGAGGTTAAGTGACTTATTCAAAGTTACACAGGTAGGAAGTGTCTGAGTCTGGATTTTAATTCAGGTCTTCCTGACTCAAGTCCCAGTGCTCTATTCACTAAGCCACCAGCTACCTGCTTGCTCTAAATCCTATGAATACCATTATTTGGCAAATGATGCCCCTCAGGCTCTTACCTCCATGTGCGAAGCACACTTTAAGGTTAGGAAACTTCTTAAAGACTCCTCCCATAATCATGGAACAAATGGCTGTGGTGGTTTCTGCTGGCATGCCTGAAAATAGCAAGCAAAATAGGAATATGCAGAGCTTGTTAGGTTGAATCCTCTGCTATTGTAGAGGAATTATAGTGTTTTTTTAAAATTCCAGTTCTTCAGTTCAGTAACCTCTTAAGTTTAATGTTCCCATGACTTGATAAATACAGATCATAAAAATGTTATTACTTTGGAGATAATGTAAACTTACTATTTTTAACTTTTAGGTTGGGTTGTTTAGGGATTTAAACTAGCACTGAGTCAGAAGAAATAATTTGAGTTCCTAGGTCCTTTGATGATTTGTGAATGTGAATGGCAAGTTGACTTTACTTTGTCTGTCTCTAAAATGGGAATAATAACATTTGGTTCCCTTTTTCCTTTTTCTGTCCTTCCCTTTGTCCTGTATGCCCCCAAGGGATAAGGTCAAGGCCAACTAGTGTAAATTAATATGAAATCTACAAAGTTCTTTAGGATTCTTGATGTAGTTGCTCCACACCAAATGTACTTCCCTTCCCTTAGACAGACATTACAAATCTTGTTAAGAAGACCTTCAGAAGAGTTCAATGCCGTAGAGTTGAACAGGCCTATTTCTGAATTGTATGGTCACTAGGGTATAATTCTCAGTGGGGTGGCAGGAAACTTCATCTTCTGATATTAAAAAAAAATGCAGGCTGTCCCATAGCCCTCAGAAGAATCTGAGTCAACCATCCTGAAATCTTCTCTTATTGGACTCCCCTTTATAAGGAGGCAGACAGGGGAGAGATTTCCATTCACCTTAAGTACTGTTAGGAAACAATATTGTCTCTATTCCTGGAGGTCTTTGAAAACTGTAGGTATATTCATTAAGACTTGTTGACAGCTGTGAGTTTCAACCCTTTTCCTTTTATTAACGGGGATAATAACAAGTAACCAAAAAAGCCCAATGTGAATTGCTTCCCTTTCCTTTTGTGGACTCTGATAGAGTCACAGCAAGAGGTGATATGACTGAAAATGTGCAGAGGAAGAGAAGCAGGGGTCTGGATAACGTATTACAGAGTGGATAATCAGCCCATTCAAATTTGGCTGCCTGGTTTATATTACTTGTAGGATCTCATTACATTACGTTGAGGATCTCAGTTTTAGGAACGGAAACTCTGAGATTACTAGAATGGACTTTTTCCTCACTTCTACCTGGTAGAATCTCTAAGTCTCCTTCAGGACTTAGCTCAGCTCCATATTCTACATAAAGCCTTTCCTGATCTCACAGCTTAACTGTCTTGTATAAATTTTGTAAAAAATTTGTAAATTTATAAAAATCTATATGTGTACATGTGATCCTGACAGAATGTTAAGTTCTTTGAGGACAAGATATTATTTCATTCTTTTTCTTTATATTCTTTGTGCCTAGAACAATGCCTGGCATCTAGTAGACACTTATAAATGTACTTTGATTGATTGATTGGTTGAAGCTATTATTAGGTTAAAAAACAATACAAGAACCACTTGTTGAACCTAAAAGAGGAATCTGGTCTTTGGGTTCTAATCTATATTCCCGTTAAGGATTGAAATTTAATATCCTATGTTTTAGCTGATGATTGGAAAAATGTGAAGCTATTGCTACATTCCCAGCCTCCAAAACAAATACAAACCCACTAGCCAGGGAAGCCAGTACTTGGCCATCCGTCCATCTGTCTGCATGTCCCAGGGGTGTACAAACAAGGAGCAGTTCAGCTGTTCTGCAGCCTTCAAGGAAGCAAGCAACACAAAAGAGGTTATTTTAGATTGGCCAGAAGCAAAATATCAGCCAAGTTTACATTTGCCTGTAGTGCATCACTCTGGGAAAATGACCATTCTTAGATTCTGAATACAGTAGTGAATTGAATAAATAAATTCAAGGAATTGGGAAATCACCTCTTGACGTAGGATATACATTCATTGAAAAGTTCTGCTCCTGCAAATAAGGCTCCCAGGTTGAAGAAATGCAGAAGAGAAGATTAGGATAAAATCTATTTAGAGTTAAAATTGATTTATATTGGCAAAACAATCCATCAAATACATATTCAGAAGTCAAAAGTTTTGGTTGAAGGTTAGAAAGATTTTATATCATAGACCCAGTAGAGGAAAGAGATAATAATTTCATAGCCTAAGTATGGGCAGAATTTTCCCTGCTTTTTCCCATGGGTCTCATGGGGTAGGGAGTTCTGTCCTGGCTCAGAGAAGCCTCTCTAGCTTCTCCATCTCTACTTTTTCAACATGCCAGCTACAGAAATGAGAATACCTTGCATGGGAACTAAGGGGCTTATGGGACATGCTGCTTTAGAGGTGGAATCAGAGTAGTTTGACCCAAGTCAACTGATAGCTTAAAAATAATAGTGGAATTGTCGTTCTTTCCCTTAGCTGCTGGGGCAGCTCCACAGCCATAGGTGAGTCTCTGAACCTGCCAGGTACAAAGGGAAAACCTTGGTGTGTAGGCTGCTCTGCTTATCTCATTGTAAGCAGGTAAACAAATTCAGTGTCAATGGCAAATTCGAACCATTTCAGGAAATGATATAGCTATTAAGAGAGAATACCATTTACAGGGATTTAACAGGTAAAATGTTTGTATTCCAAAAAAAAATTCCTAACAAAGGTCAAAGGATATTTGGAACTATAAGTCTGCTCTGCTTGCTACCATTAACTGGATCCACAAAACATTAGTTATTCAGTTAACTAGAATTTATTAAGTTCCTACCATGTGCCAGGCACTATGCTAAGCACATGGGATATACAGGAAGGCAAAGAACCCTTGCTCTCACGGTTTAATGGGGGAATCTAATGTTTTGTGAAAATAATGTTATAAACAGCAGTTAGTTCCACAAGAACAATGATTAAGAGATTATAAATGAGTGGCATATCAGTCAATATTATACCAGGGTTCATGAATTTGCATGGAGTTTGTTTAGCGTATATAATGTGGAGGGGCAGAGTAAAGATGGTTGGTTGAGAGTTAGGAAGCAGTGCAGTGAGCTCCTATCTATAAACTCCTCCAACAGATTTTTAAAAATGCACTAGGTCAAATCCTGAAGGAGAAATTCAGAAAAAGTAGCAGTATGTCCTTTGTCTAGCCCAGGTCAGCATAAGGACACAGACGGGGACACTGGAGACAGGTTGGCTCAGGAGCGTGTCACACACTGAGCATTCTAGTGCCCAGGGAGAGACTATGCACCAGAGCTAGAGGAGGCGCTCCCAGGGCTACCCCCAGACCCATGCCAGTGTGCTGCAACTGGGAGAGGTGTGAATTGGCAGCTTTTTTGCCCATTACCCTGTTCCAGGTCTCAGATCCAGGGCATTCTGATAATATGACCTTTGCCAGGGAGCAGCATTCTGCTGGGTATGGTGGCCTGGGCAGAGAACCAAGAAAAGAGGAAGTTCAGCTCAGAAGCAAGCAGCAGTAGCAGGCCCAGACTTTAGGCTCGAATCAGTCTTACTTTCAGCATGTAGTCCAGATTATGAGAAATAATCAGGGTGGGAATCCTAGACCAAAAGGGAGACTAAGATTCTGCCACTGTATGCCAACAGAGCTTTCCACCTGGTTGATAGGGTTAAATATAGTAGCAGTCAACTCTTACTCAGGCCTAAACCCAGGTCAGGAACTTACAGAGCTCAAACTCAGGGGTCAGCAATTATACTTTGCCCTTGATCAGACCACTGTGGGAACACTAAAATCTTGCAGGTGTCAAGCCTGTTCCTGAGATCCTAGAATTACAGAACATTCAGTACCCCAAGAAAGCATCACCATAGATTTTTCCTCCAGAAGTGCTTCAGAGCCTTGCCCTAAAATCAAGTCTGAAGTCAGGGAGTAGGCTGAAAGAATGGGAAAAAAAATAAAAGAATCCTACCATAACGAGATATTGTTTTGACAGAAATGCTCAAGACATAAATGCAGAAGAAAATGACTCAAAACGTCTGCAAACAATGCTTCAGAGAAAAATACAGGTTGGGCACAAACTTAATGAGAATTACTGGAAGAGATGAAGCAAGCTTTTTAACCTGAAGACTTGTCAAAAAAGTATAAATAACAAGAGCACTTGAGGAAAAATTTGGAAAAGAAATGAAGTCTACGGAGGAAAGAAGTGGAAAGAAAATTGACAGCTTGGCACAAGTGGTATAAACATTTGCCCAAGCAACTCTCTGAAAATTCACATGGACTAAATAGAAGCCAATGATTCCATGAGGCAACAAAAAATATTAAAACAAAGCCAAATGACTGAGAAAAAATAGAAGAAAATGTAAGGTATCTCATAGCAAAAACAACTGACCTGGAAAACAGTTTAAGGAGAAAAAAAATGAAGAATCATTAGATTATCTGAATACCTCGATTAGAAAAAGAGCTTAGGCATATTTCAAGAAATCTTAAAAGAAAATTCCTTAGATCTCTGAATACCAGAGGGCAAAGTGGAAAGAGAAAGAATGCCATCAATCATCTCCTGAAAGAAACGCGTAAATAAAAACTTCAAGGAACATCATAGCCAAAATCCAGAGCTCCAGGTCACAGGGAAAAAAATAGAATGCATAATATAATTACAACATGGCTTTGGCTATGGCGACCTTATGTGAGGAATATTTAGATCGTTAAACCATAGGATCATAGATCTGGAGTCGGAAGGGATGTCAGAGACCATCTAGGCAATGTCTCTCATTTTACCAATGAGGAAACTGAAACCTGAGAGGGTTAAGTGATTTTCCCATGGTCATATAGTAAGCATGAGAGGTGGGATTTAAACTCAAGTCTTTTGACTCCAGAGTGAGTGCTCTTTCCCTTGTATCTTATATGGAAAAGAATGTTTTTTCTTTCTTATCTCTTTAGCAGAATTAATAGTCTCATTAAACAGTTAGGTGACACAGTAGATGGAGCTCTGGGCTTCCATTCAGGATGATCTGAATTCAAATATGGCCTCAGACACTCACTAGCTATGTTACCATGGTCAGGTCATTTAATCTCTGTTTACCTCAGTTTCCTCAATTGTAAAATGGGAATAGTAATAGCACCTACCTGTCAGGGTTGTTGTGAGAATCAAATGAGACAGTATTTGTAAAGTACTTAACACCGTGCCTGGCACATAGTAGGAACAATATAAATGCTGATTCTCTCCCACCTTCTCCCCACTTTATTGAGACTATATCAAAATGTGTATTTCAAATAGTCTGTGCAGCCATTTAGTAAATGCTAAATAAGAAAGGATATATTCTTTCGAGTTAGAAATTTTTAGCATGGTTATAACATTGTGATGAAGTCTTAGGAACTAAACTGTGTACAGTATCTTGAATGAGTTTTTTCCCCTTAGGGGATGGAGTGGGGTTGGGACTTGTGAGTTTATCTTCACAGAAAGTTTCCTTTTAGTTAACTCCCTCTACCAATGCAAATCTGCAACCTCTGGTCCTATAAGTATTGACTGGAGGACACTGCCAGGTTATGTCATTTGCCTATCGTCACATAGTCAATATGTGTTGGAAATCTCCCTAACTCTGAGGCTGGCCCTCTATCCACTACACTATATTGCCTCTCTCTCCTTGAGCATAGTAAAAACTTAACAGATGCAAAGGAATTGCAAAGAGAAAAAAAAAAGAGGACATGATTATTATTAATATCCATCTTGTAGTGGAAAGAACACTGGTTATAGAGTCAGAGGAGCAGAATCAGATAGCACCTCTGCTATGTACTACCTGTGTGACCTTGGACAAGACATTTTCCTACTCTGGTACTCAATGTCTGTACCTGTAAAATAAGGGGATTGAATGAGGTCCCTAAGGTCCTTTTCATCTCTAACAACCTATGATACAGAGGTATTATCCTTTGGTAATTACATTTACAACTGTAATGAATCATCTTTCTTTTTCATCTACCTTAAATTTCCTTGGAGTAATCAGGCTGCTGACTCATGTTTATCTGCAAAAAGTTGATGAATAAGAGATGTCTCTAGAGTTCCTTTCCAAAATATCTCCAGGGAGCCCCAAATGACTCTAGGTTTAGAAAATAGAAAGACTAAAAGGGAACCCAGGTGTCTGAGTGGGACACACAGGACACTTAGAAAAAGAGAGAAGGGTTTTAGTTTAATAGAGGTTCAGATTAGAAAAAGGCACTTCGCTTGAGAAATGAGGACAGAGCAGTTAGTTCTGAACAGAAAAAAAGTAGATCAGAAAAAGGATAGATGTGAGGAACTAGACAGGAGACCTTGATCTCTAAGTAGATTAGGCTCAGGTGTTGGAACAAAGATACCCAAATGACAATGGTTTCATAGGATTTAGAGTTAGAAAAAAATCTTAGAGATCATCTAGTCCAACAAATTTATTCTATAAATGAAGAAACTAAGGTCCCCAGAGGTTAAGTTATTTGCCCAGGGTTACACAGGAAGTCAATAACAGAGCAGAGGCCACTAGTAGGAGACTTAATTCACTGCAATACATACTCTATAAAAACGCAATCCCAGCCTAGCAAAGGGTTGATTCCAAGTTTGATTTGTTGTCAGTTGCTTGGAATTTAGGTTGCCTGTTCCTATGAAAAGAGTATTAGAAGAGGTAGTCAGATTAAAAAGTAGCCTGTTTAATCCCAAGATAAAGCATTGGTTGTAATAGTAGCCCAAAGTACAGCTGCATTTTGTATGGCCTCCACCGAAATACATCAGCAGCAGAGGTGTCATTTACTGACAAGAAGAAAGCTACATGGTGTGGTAGATAGAATGTTAGACTTGGAGTCAGGAAGACCTGAGTTTGAATCTTATCTCAGATACTTACTTGTAAGTCATTTTTTCCCCCTTAGTTTCCTCATCTTTAAAATGGGAATAGTAATAGTATCTATCTCACAGGATTGTGGGGATCACATAAGATAATATATCTGCTTTGCAAATCTTAAAGAGTTATATAAATGCTTGCTATTATTAAAACCCTTGGATGAGTGGTCACGTATAGTGAGATACAAATTTCTTTCCCTAATGATGTGGAAAAATATAGGCAACCTTGGGCTATTGGTACTCTGCCAGTTACACACAGAATTACTGAAGGCTACCACAACAGGCTGATGCCATACACATGAATATGTGGCCAAACCCATTTGGAGTAAGTGAAACCCAACTTTGACCACAGAAATAAAAAAAAAACCACCTTTCTTGCAAATGGAGAAAGGAAACAAAAGTGGGCAAACACACATCTCTGGCCCAGTTCCTCAGAAAGTCATCAGGTAGCCCCAGATATATCTGGCAAAACCTCCCAAAGCTCTTCTGAACTCCATGACCTGAGGAAGGCGTTCTTTTACCTTCTGATGTGAATAGTAGAATTAAAGCAAGAATGAAAGACAAAGAAGTCAGTTATGGGTAGGCCAGATGTTTTCTGCTACTACTTCCAATGCTGTGATTCTGTGATACTGTGTGCTTGCAATGAAAATGGTTTAATATTATACAGTCATGGGCAGTTAGGTGGTGAAGTAGATAGAGCACCAGCCCTGGAGTCAGGAGGACCTGAGTTCAAATCTGGCCTCAGACACTTGACACTTCCTAGCTTGCCTGGGCAAGTCACTTAACCCCAATTGCCTCACCAAAAAAAAAAAAAAAAAAAAAATGAAGGACAAAATTATACAGTCTTTACTAGTAAATAAAGCGTAAAAACAATGCATTTGAATTATGAAATAGGTTTTTAGAATTGATGCTTTAGGAAAAATAGGTTTAACTGGAGAGGAATGAGGAAGTTGATGAAGTTTTCTGGAGCTAATAAGAGGTCAATGATAATTATATCTTAAATTTCATTCCTTTTTCTTGACATATTAGATAACTAATAAGATAGTCTTTCTATGTAATTTGATCTGCCTATCTGTATGTCTGTCTGCCTTACTGTCTCTCTAGCTCCCAATGGGACAAAGGAAAAAAAGAGAAGGAGGGAAAAAGAAAGAGGAGAAAGGAGGTTAAAAGGGATTATGAACAGACAAGAAAGAAATTTCTGGAGATAGAATTAACCAGTTCCAAAGTTCATTCAGAAATATATTTGTACAATTCCACTTGAAGGAGAAGAAAGGTAAAGAATCACTGGGTTGAACAGTTGCACTACTCTGGGCACTAAGAGAGCTAGATTGCTAGCCAGAGTGAATGAGTCAGGGCAGGAAGCTCCCTGGGGTGAGTAGAGGAAAGGGTGGAAATATTTAACTGGCTATCTCCATGTAGGGGACATTTGCATATTGGGTGTTCAAGACTTGGGGAGTGCCCTGTGAGGGCTTTTAATATATGAAGGTGATGCTACTGATCCACCATTAGAAGAAATGCTCTGACTTGTTCTAATTATATTTACACTCATCTATTCACAGTCTCTGGTCTGGTTCCCTTCAGATCAAAGAGGAATATTTAGGCAGTTGATTAGAAGTAAGGATGTAATCTTTTCTTATAGAACATAATGAAGTTTACTGATCTATTTGGGTATTAAAACTATGATCTTAGATTCACAAGCCTAATTCTCTAAACATTTAGTTAACTAAAAGATAAATTATTCATTTATCATAATATAATAGGAGCATTAAATCATGGGTTAATAATCCCTGGCATGAACCCCAGAAGGTAGCAAGTGAGGCCAAGTCTATTTATTACCAAAGAAGGACATAGGACCTGGAAAGATTTGAGCTCAATGTGAATAGGATAAAGATAGTCTATAGTTTATGTCCATGGACTTGACTAGATCAAAGTTGTTCCTATGCAGTATACTAGTCTCAAAATTCAGGCCTCTATTTGGTGACTTTGTAAAAGTCTTTGGTGAGGTAGTGCCTTGTCCTTCCATTGGTGTACATTCTGATTTGCCAGGCTCTGTCAAAACAAAGAAGTAGCCAATGTAGCCACTGCAGCTTGTAGCCCTTTAAACTGGCATGGCTGTCATTACCCCTCTTCTCTCTTCCATGTCTGCTATATCTAATTCCTCCTTACCAGTGGTTCTTTGGAAAGTGAAAGTTGGGAAACCAATACCCTGCAGGTGTGCCAGTTCTGGGACTAGAAAATAATATAGCTCACATTACAATTGAAGTTTGTGAAGTAAACATTTACATCTATCTATTAATCCTCCCAACTTTGAATAAGTGCTATTATCTCTGTTACTCAGGTGAGGAAATTGAGGCTGAGAGAGGTTAAATGACTTTCTCAGTCACATAGCTTGTAGGTGAACCTAGGTCTTCCTAACTAGAAGTTCAGTGCTCTATTCACCAAACTCAGACAGCCTTACTAGATAAAGCTATGGAACCGCCACTCAAATTATACTCAGTTACCCCATTCCTTCAACTGGTCTAATCTATCCTGTGTCAGATTTCTCCTGAGGTGGCATTAAGATTAAGATCTTAAATTATAACTAAGGTGTTAACTAATAATTGAAGTGTTTAATGACAAGTGCATTTGCATTTTAATAGGGTAGTTTTAATGACTAAAAGGTTTAAAAATTTTTAAATATACTGTTTTCAGAACACTATGGAAAGGATGGCATGACAGTACTTGTGGACTCAAATTTGACTTAAGACAATCTCTACCCTCAAGGATCCTGCTACAATTAATCATAGGATCATAGATGTAGGGCTGGAATGAACCTTAGAGGTCATTGAGCCCACCTCTCCTTCATTTTACAGATGAGGAAACAGACTGTTAGGTGAAATGAATCCTGGTACAACAGGCATCAGAGTTGAGTAGGAGGTCCTCTCTACCTACTAGAATTGCAACATACATATATTTCAAGCCCAGATTCAGTGGAAGTACATTCTGTTTGCCTGAGGAAGATTCTGCCTTTAGTTAACACAGGGTCTAGGAAAAGTGTACATTTAAGGGTTTATGCTTCTGAGCATACCACTCAACTGTGCTTAGGGAGGCTACTTAGAGGAGAAGGAGATATTTAAAAAAAAATCTCGGGCACTCCTGAGTATATAAATTGCCCTTAAAGTCTCTGGAGATTGAAGTGGATGTCTGGAAATAATGCCTTCTCCCCACCACCCTCAGGCTGTATGTTGTCATTTCCGTAGCACCTCTCCTCCCTTTCTTTGTCTTTTCAAGTCTATCTTAGGTGTTCATTTTAAATCAAGTTCACCTGTGTAAAAAGGTTAGTGGTGTTATCTAGTGGTGGAGAGGGGAAAGATTCACACAATGGAACACTCCTGTACCTCTCACCTTGACAATACGGGATTGCCAGACCAGTCACTTCTGGCCTCAGTTTCCTCCATCTGTAAATTGAGGGGATTTGGCTAAATGACATCTAATGCTGCTTCTGGCTCTAAATCTAGGATCCTCTGATATAGTGACATCAACTTTTAGACAAGTCAGGATCCCACAGCTGAGGGAGAATATTGCATATGTATAGCAGAGGTGTCAAACCTTGCACCCAGTGCAAGCAACCATAAAACTTTGGTGCACAGCCTGAACCAGGTTAAAATGTAATCGGAAAATGTTTAACTAAATAGAAGTACAATCCAACATAGTTAATTTGTGATTTTCTAGGACAATGTGTGATGGCTCAGTGATCCATTTCTATTTGAGTTTGACCCCAATGACTTACAGCATAGACAGGGAAGAGCTCCTTAGAGTTCAGGTTCCAGTCATTGATGTGGGATCCAATCTGTATCCCAGGAAAACCCAGCTCCTTCACACATCGGTGCATCTCTTTCACTGCCAGGTCTGGAGCCTGCATTGGCAATGTTCCCAAGCCAACAAACCTCTTTGGGTACTTTGCAACAGTTGCAGCTAAGTCATTATTTAAAATCTGGCACAGGTCTAAAGTATCTTGAGGTTTGGCCTGGTAAGAAACAAAAAGGAATGAATGAACTAGTTGTGTATCTCTCTATTTCTCTATCTATCTATAGCTCTAGACATGTGATTTCATTAGTGGGGGGAGGAAGAGAAGGGAACAAGCATTTATATTCTGCCTATGTGCCGGGTACTGTGCTAAGCACTTTACAAATATTATCTCATTGGATCAGTGTAGGATCTCCTGATATGGAAGCTGTTTCCACTAATTCATCTTGTCCGAAATGTAATATTTTAGAGCAGTGCATTGGGGCACTGAGATATTAGGTGATTCACCCATAGCTAGAATGTGTCAAAAGTAGAATCTGAACTCAGATTTCCTGACTCCAGGGTTGGCCCTCTAAACACCATGCCAAATTGCTTCTTACCCTGTAGTGAAAATTTAATAACTATTTCTTTAATCCAATTGAAATATCTCACCCAGTCTACCAGTACTGTCATCAGACCCATTTGTGTATCCTGAGGACCTGAGTTTTGCCATTTGCCTCAAGGAAACACTTTTGGGACTTCGGGGCTTTTCCATTTGCTCTGCAGCAGAACTTTCTGGGTTGTTACCTGCCCCTAATTAGAGTGTGAGCTCCTAGAGAGCAGGGACTATCTCAGTTTTTCTATTTGTATCCTCAGTGCTTATAACAGTGTTTGACACATAGTCACTATTTAATGCTTTTTCATGCACAAATGAATTAATTCATTCATGGTTTCTGAAGTTCAACATTAGACACCATTTCTTTTGTTAAAGTTTTCTAATTCCAGGAGCCCTCCTTTTCAAATATACGTTTCCCTAGAAAGGGTAATACTAATGCATTTAAAAATTATTTTACTTTTTAACATGAATGAGTTTGTTAGTTTAGATTAGCAAATCAGTTACCTAATAAGGATCTCTAGAACTGAATCCTAGGACTGGTAAGTTTTGATAAAAAGAGAGAGGGGAGGGCAAACCTGCCAAATATTGCTTGCTTCTGAAATTTTACTCATTCTGCTCCTGGTTCTGTGTGTAGAGGAGCAGCCATAAAGGGAGAGGTAAATGAAGGGAAGGAGGTTTGTGGGAAGAGAGTTGTTGGTATCAAAGGCTCTAATTGCATTGTCTACCAAATTGTAAGCTATTAGCCTTTCAAATGGACAGTTCAAAGCTTCACACTTACCCAGTAGCTGAACATAACAGGGACTGTAGAAAGGGCTTGTACAGTTACTCCTGATAAAAAACACACACACACACACACACACAAAACAAAACAGCAACAACAACAACAAAAAATAAAACAGACCAAACCAGAGAAAATATCAGCTCTTTATGTTTCTTTGTATGTCATCTATTTCCCGAAGCCTTACCTCCCTTTGAATTCCTACTAGAATCAGCACTAGCAATCTTTCCACCTTGGTTGAATAGCACCTGGGGCAAACAGCAGAAATTTATCACCACTTCAAATCTATAATTCAAAATTTGAAATAGTACAAACTAGGGGATGGGTGGTAGGAGAGAAAATCCAGGGCACTACCTTGTGGGGGAGAGACTGAGCACCTGGGTTACTGGCTTCCACTGGGGACCCCATACAAGTATTAAGACCCTTGCTGGTGAAAGGTCATTCAAAATTTGGGAGAGGGGCGCAGTGTAGAAGTAGGCAGGAAGGTGTGTAGACAGGACAGATGGATGTGTGCGTTTCCTAATAGCTTCCTATTTTAAATTATTATTCTGTTTCTGACTAGATGCTAAACTAGTTGTTCTATGTTGCTGAAGGAATGTGGGTGTTGTCAGAATGTAAATATAATAAATTGAACAATTATACAAACTTTAATAAAATTAGCCAATAGTTTATCTATATTATCGATTCCTGCCTACACCTCTCCATGGTTTTATTGGTTTAATTTATTTTTAACTTTCAATTTTATTAATCTCTCTTTTGATTTTCAGGATTTCCATTTTGGTGTTTAATTGGGATTTTTTAATTTGTTATTTTTCTAGTTTTTTTAGTTGCATGCCTAATTTATTGATCTTTCTCCACTCCACCATTTTGTTTCTTCCCACCTTTCCTCCCCTCCCCCGCACAAAGCTTAAAAATCATTATTTTAAAATTTTATGCCCTCTAAATTTTGGTATTCCAAGGAAAAGGTTTAGTCACCCCTCCCTAGTTACAAGTTCTGGTTTCTCCTTTTCCCTACCCCCACTTGAATTTAGATTCCTTTATGTTGGGTTTAAAGAGAACTCCTCTAAACACTCAAATACCATTTCATCAGGGAAAAATTATGAGTAAGGCTGACCCTGATAAGTGGGGCTTGAAATTCCCAGTTTGTGTTTAGTCCCATCCTATGATGATATGCCAAATACAACCTCCATGCCTAAAATCATGCCAAGCCTTGGTGGTGGACAGGGGGATCCTCACTCTAAAAGATGAAATGAATTGGCACTATTTCCTACTCACTCGGACTCCTAGAAATAGTTATTATAATAGGCAGCAAGTATTGTGTCTAGAGTCACTTTTTTTTGTTTGTTTTTTTTTTGTGAGGCAATCAGGATTAAGTGACTTGCCCAGGGTCACACAGCTAGTGTCTGTGTCAAGTATCTGAGGCCGCATTTGAACTCAGGTTCTCCTGACTCCAAGGTTGGAGTTCTATCTACTGTGCCACCTAGCTGCCCCCTAGGGTCACTTTTAAAGGGAGTTACCAATCACTACTGATTTTCTCGTTAAAGTAGTGAAAAGGGCACTGGATTTGGAGGTAAAGACTGTCACTAATATCTGTGAGTTTTGGGCAAGTCACTATAAGATACTTCTGTGGAGTACTTCCTTCCTCTTCAGTGGTGTCCTAGGGTTTGCTTCTCTCTCTGGGGCAAGTCCTCCCCTGATCCCCAGTTGCTAGTTCTGTAGCATATACTCTACCAAGATAAGTTTTTTCCTCCCCTCGATTATAATACAAGATGAACCACCTTCTCTACCCTTCTAGCAAAAATTATACTTGGCTCTGTTAGGTGATAAACTTGTTGCTTCCTTTCTGTGGTCCTGTCCTTCCTCCTCCATCCCCATCCACCACAGGGCTTCGATGTATTTAGCACTCCTGATACTAGTCCTTGGGCCTAATTCAGGCACCAGTCCCAGGCCCACCCCCCACCCCGTTATTCCATCCTTTTTCAGCTTTGCTTTCGGGCAGGTGATAGAGTGACCCTGAGGGCACTAATTAAACTTTTTTTTCCCATGAAGATGACACAGACAGATTTGAAACTCTTTTCCTTAGAGCTTACCATTTTATCTCTGTTCCAAGGACAAAGGAACACAGAGTGGTGAAATGAAATAGAAATGGGAAGGGGGGGAGAGGGAGAAAAGCAAGAAGCACATTTTAAACTTAAGTTTAGTCATAAACAGCTGGTTTATAACACCAGTTACTCTGAGTTCTGTCTTCTTGAGTTTTCCCCTTGGAGGGGAAGAGATTTGAAGTAGCTTCACTTGAGATCAAGTCTTGCTGCCCACCTCCAGGGAAAGGCTTTGTCTTTTCTCTCTAGGTGGGCTTCTAAAGCCCTTTTCCCAGAAGCTATTGCTAAGGACATTTTCTGCTATTTATGGATTTTAAGCAATTAGGCTAGCACAGGGAGGTCCTGGGGAGACTACCTCCTCAATGTGCCTTGTAAACTGGAAAGCCCAACAGAAGTGTGGAGTTTGCAATACCTAGAGGGCCACATGTGGCCTTGAGGCCACAGGTTCTCCACCCCTGGTCGACACCAATACAAGTCCATAATCCCTACATTCCCCTATAGAGAAACATTTTTGGCCTGAGTTCAGTTACTTGCCTGGAATTTTAATAATAACAACAATAACAAAAATAGCTAACATTTATATAGCTCTTTAAGTTTTACAAATCTTTACATACGCTATCTCATTTTATTGTCACAATAACCCTATGAAGTAGGTGCTATTATTATCTCTGATTTACAGATGAGGAAAGTGAAGCTTATTGATGTTAATGGATTTGCCCAGAGTCATAACAGCTTATTAATAAGCAGGATTTGAATTCAGGTCTTTCTCATCTCAAGGACAACACTTAGCATATATACAGCCTTACTTCACTGGATTAGGCCAAAACACGGGACTTGGAATGGGGGTAAAGGACGGGAGGTGTATGTATTTTCTTGTACCTTTTCTGTGTTAATCTCCCCCGGAGTATAGTTTGCTTTGTTTATGTCTTTGAATCCTCATTGCCAAGTATAGTGCCTGAAGTATAGTAGACACTTAATGAATGCTTGTCAAGAGTGTGACCACATAGTAACCTTGCAGTTAGCTTGAAGAGGGTGTGGCCAAATCTCTGTTTCTTGAAATCCCCAACTATTATTATTGTTATATCCTATCTCAATCAATAAACTTCTAGAGGATAGCTGAAGTTATTACAAAATAGTAACCTACCTATTTGATCCATTTCTCTAATACGAACTATTGGATTCCAGCAGTTTTCTTGGATAATTCGGAAGAGCTTTCCATCTTTCATCATTTTGGCTCCTCCCTAGGATGAAAACTTCGGTCAATAGATTGTGAACCAAGGTGGCTGGTGTGCCTTTGGAATCAAATAAAAAGACTACAGCTTTAAGATTTTGCAAGGAATTTCCCCTTAAAAATTGTAGATTTTTAAATCTTAGAAATGGAAATGTATTTACCTATGAAAAGCTTCCTGATTGCATTGTAACTGTACATATGCTCTTAAATTCTATATCTAAGTTTGGGACGAAGAGCTCATTTGATTAAAGCCAGGTGGCAATATGGACAAAGTTAATGTTCAAGGGATTCAGAAAGTTTCCCTGTGTTTCTATAACTAAATATGGCTAATCATTGGATCATTGATTTAAAGTTAGAAGGGACTTTAGAGGACAGAAGCTGAGGTACTAAGAAGCTAAGTGACTTGCCCAAAGTCACAGGGCAGGATTTAGAAGAACAATAGCTAGCAGTTATATAATGATTTTTGAGTTTTGCAAAGTTCTCCACAAATATTATCCCATTTTATCCTCAAAGCAATCCTGGGAAATAGTTGCTATTATTACCCCCATTTTACAGATGAGAAAACTGAGGCAAACAGAAGTGACTTACTCAAGGTCACATAACTTACAAGTATCTAAGGCAGAATTTGAATTCAAGTCTTCCTGATTCCAAGTTCAGGGCTCTACCCACTATGCCAAAATATCCATCTCTTTTTAGGGGCAGCTAGGTGGTACAGTGGATAGGGTGCTGTCTCTAGAGTGCTATATAAATGCTAGTGATTGTTATTGTCACAATTGTTTTGCAAATGTTGACTTTGTCATAGGAAAAGATTAGGCAAGGGTGAGAATAGATCAGTTCAAGCATCTTTTTTTGTACTTGAGGAACATGGGAACCAGAGAAATCATAGGATTGGAGATTTAGAACTGTAAGGGACCTTTAAGTCCATTGAGTCTAATTCCCTCACTTTACAGATGAGAAAACACCGAGGTACAGAGGGAACAAGCAATTCTCCACTTTTCTGGGCTGTCTCTCACCGTGAAGATTCTTGACTGAGATTACACTGATGGTTAATAGAAGGACTAACATCTTTTCATGTTTCCCTTTTCTTTCTGGGCATAGTACCTTTCTGAAAGTTATTTATGTGATACCTCAAAGACTAAAGAAAGACCTTTGAATCCCTAGTGGGAGACCAAAGTACTTGTGATCAGGTTAAAAAAAACAACAACAAAAAAACACTGTCCTCTGATTGGCTGTTTCGTCCCCTCCCCTCTCCTATCTCCCTCCCCTTCCAAGACTTAATTTTGAGCTCTATCCATACCCAACTTGAACTACAGCTCTTTGCGTTTTCCTTCTCACTTTATGTACTTATCTGCCCCAACTCCTTCATCTAAAGCCCAGGCTACATTTCACCCACAAAGTGAATTCAGGTCTCTTTAACAGACCACAGGCTCAAGAACAACGTTTGCGTTTCTTCCTCTAAACAATAACTCTTCAGAGTCATTGAGCAAGTGACTTGTGAAATCATGTCATGGAGAACAAACATAACAATTATTTATATCTCAGAATGCTTGTGAACTGGTCGTCAGCACCAGTATGTTGGTAGGATTGATTCGATTTCAATTGTAAAGCCGTGAGTGAGTTATAAGCTTTTTTTTAGGAGAAGAGGAGAGGAGGTAAAACAAAGAGATGGCATTAAAGAAAAAAATCTGGGAAATATATTTCATTTGTCACATGAAGGATTCTCCCCTCCTGCTCTTCCCTGCTTAGTATTAGAATGATGTTCAGCATAAAAGAGTCCTTAAAAGTTATTCCTCCAAAGGAGGAAATCATTCCTATGGAAACCATATTTATCATTGTATGTGTCCAAGGAATGTTAAAACTGGAAAGAATCTTAGAGACCATCTAGTTCTCTGCTCCTCCCACAGAATTATAGTTACAGAATTTTGAAGTTGGAAGGGAGAGGAGTGATTTGTCAATCAATTAATCAAGAAGTATTTTATTAAATACTTAGTATATACTAGGCACTGTGGTAAGCACTAAGGATACAAAGACAAAAATAAACACTCTGCACTCAAAAGGCTTAATCTCTATAGGAAAAAGGTAACAGTTACACATACAAACAATGTAAATATAAGGTAATATTCAGGGAAGAGAGACTAGCAGCTGAGGGAGGAGGGACTAAGAAGGTCTTATAAAAAAGAACTGACATTTGAGCTATTATGAATCGATCAATCAACAGTATTTTTTACAATATGTAATAATAAAAAGTATTTATTAAGATCTTACTATGTACAGGGAGGCATTATGCTTAATGTTGAACATATAAAGAAAGAAAAAAAGAAATACTCACCTATAAAGAGCTTATACTCTAATGGGGGAGACAACATTTACATAAAGAAAATATATAAAAGATATAGACAAAGTAGATGGAAAGTAAAGTGGCATTTGAGCTGATTCTTAAAGAAGCAAGGAATTCTAAAAGGTGGAGGTGAGAAGATGGGCAAAAGGGGCAGTAGACAGGGCAAAAAAAGAGGTATATTCTGTGTGAGGATCAATAAGTAAGCCAGTATGGCTCTCTATGGGAGAATAATACCATGGTAACCTCCCTGTTTCTTGGGTCTCTATCTCTCCCTACCACCAAATGAATTTTTCTTAAAAACTTGACTTGACTCATTGCTCTGGTGCATTTTGTGAAATTTGCTTCAGGAAAGTTATGAAAATGGTAGTTATGATTCTAAAGTCATGATACCTGGATTCTAGTCTGGGTCTTTTTAGTAATTTGTTGTGTGAATCAGTCAAGTAATTTCATCTCTTTATGCCTTGGTATCCTCATCTTTAAAGTGTAGGGGATGGACAGGATAATTCTGAGGTTTCATTGTGCTCTAACATGCCATGGAAAGCTATCAAAACTGGATGTAATCTAACTAGCAAGTATTCTATTCAATTTAAATACTTGATATTGATTTATTATTCAGGAGTTTATTTCTGTTCTTGATATTTCACAAGGCAAACAGCTAGAATGACTAGACTGAAGAAGGAGAAATGACTGAAATCAGGAATTAGCCACCTTTCTGAGACTCTCTTTCTTAGGAGACTTTCACAAATCTCTAACTGCCTTTTGGATACATCCACCTGAATGTCTTGTCATCACCTAAAATTCTTCACGTCCAAAACAGAACTCATAATTCCCCCCCACCCCCCCACAAAGGTTGAACCATCTAGTACCTTCTCTGGACTTCCTTATTTCTAACAAAGAAAATAATTATTCCAGTCAAGCAGGTTCAAAAGCAGATTCATTCTCAACTCTTCCCTCTCCCACTCCCTTTACTTCCTTCTTCTTGTCCCTTTCTCTTCTTCCCACATCCAGTTTGTTCATTCCAACCCTCACATTGATGTTAGATTAATCTTCCTTATGTGTAAACTTCCTTATGCATAATTGTCCTTACGCATATGATGGTTCTTAGCTCATGACTCTTCAATGAATCCCTATTGCCTATTAAGTAAATTAGATCAAGTTCAAATTTCATTGTCCTGGCATTAAAGACTTTCCACAACTTGATTTTATCCTGTTGGTTTGGCCTTATCTGGTAGTACCCTTTTCCACATACTCTGTACTTTATTCAAACCTTTGACTCTCCGAAGCTTTCCCACTTCCATGCATTTGCTCATATTATTTCCTGTGTGTAAAAGTTGCCTCCCTTCCCATCTGTACCTGCTGAATTCCTATCATCCTTTAAAAGCCAACTCAAATGCCACCTGTATAAAAGTTTCCTTTGTACTCCCTGTTAGCATTACTTAAACCTTTACCTGACATAGCATTTTATTTGCATCTTTAATGCATTTAACACATACTCTTTTGTATTACAGTCATTCATATATGAATTACAGCCCCCTACTAAGTTGTAAACCTTTTCAGGGAAGGGATAGTGTTTCGTCTAAACTTTGTATCTCTCTCAGGCTTTAACACTGTATTCTTTACATAGAAAGCACTTAATTAATATTTGTTAAATTTTCAACAGTTAACAAGTCATTTCAATTCTTTTATAGTCTTTCATATTTACCTGCCCTTCCTATTCCCAACACTTAGTCTAGGCCCTTATCACATCATGCTTAATTGAATCTGGTCCTCTAGCTAATTTTCCTACCTTCAGTATTTCCCCACGCTAGTCAGTCCTAGAGAAACAGATTAATCTCTTTTAAATACCATTTTTATCGTATTGTTTATATGAATAAAACCCAAATTTCTATTATTGACTTTATGACCCCTACCTACTTCTACTTTATCTTCTTACATGGGTCATAACTAGGATAAACCTATGAGGTGTATGTGTGTGTGTGGGGGGGGGATTTGTCCAAGGGTGGGAAATTTGTCCCAAAGAAGGAGATTTTTAAAGAGTTGAAGACAAGAGATTGTATTCTTCTAAGTTAGAGGGCTGTGGCAGATCCTTGAATTGAGGAATGGGTGGAGCTGTGACTTTGTGGAGCCTGTGATAGGATAATGACAGTGGAGACAGGAGTATACTCCAGTTGAGTTTCCATCTTAATGACCTTTCAGGGTTCTTCAGGGAGAGTACTAGATATGGTGATATCCAAGCTCAAGAATGAGAAGAGAGGCCTGACCCTGGTGTTGGAGGTTCATCATCTCACTGTCAACGCGCCACCTCACAACACTGTTCAACTCAAAGACATCCAGGGTACCAGCAGAACTGGTCTATGGCAAGGGGGCCATTCATTTGAATGGCAAGATAAGAGAAGCAAGGCTGCTTCTTTCATCACTATGACTTTTTTCCCTCTTAAAGCATTGTTGTACTACACTACTTAAAAATTCCTGAGGAGTAGAAGACCTTAGGTGAGGTGAATTTGGGGCATAAGGTGCATGTGGAAGGTCTGAAGAGTCAACCTCCTAATTAGCTCTTTGTCATGAGATCAGAGACTGAAGCCCTGGAAGGCAGCTGCTACTCTGACCAACTCTCCTGTTCCTGAGGGAAGTCAGATTTAAATTTGTTGTTGAGTAGTTTCAGTCTTGTCTAA